TAGTCTTTTCCGGAAAAGCGTGTCTACATTGGCCACAGACCTACATTGGCCACAGACGCTTTTCCGGAAAAGCAGCCTGCCAATGTAGACGCTCCTTTTCCAGAAAAACTGAAAACGGAATAGTATTCCGTTTTAAGCAGTTCCGGAAATTCATGCCAGTGTAGACACAGCCCATGGCTTTTGTGTGTGTGTCTGTGTCTGTGTGTGTGAGAGAGAGACACAGAGACACGTACGTACAGGGCAGTCCAGTGCACAGTTCTCCAATCTGTGCATGCAAATGCCCCCTTCCACACACACCAAGGACGGATTCCGAGACACACGAGAGAAACCCTGCAGAACGCTAAGCTCAAAGCTGGGTGAGCTAACCTAAACATGGGGTTCTTCTCTCCCCTCCCCAGAGATAGCCAAGTGAGGATCATGGAGACCACGGTAGCCAATGCTGAGAAATATTTCGGCCTGTTCTGCACGCTGATGGCCGCCTACACCCGGAAGACGGCTAAGCTGCGGGACAAGTCGGATCTCCTGGTGAAGCAGATTCTCGACTATGCGAACACTGAGAACCCTGAGCTGCGGAGCACCATGAAGCGCTTTGCCGAGGAGCTGGCCAAAGTGCAGGACTACAGGCAGGCCGAGGTAAGGAGCTGCCTAGGCCACAAGACGCTAACTACGTCAGGATTGGGATCACAGGTAGGAAGGCACAGGCTGACCATAGACGTGGGAGGGCGGTCATGAGTTAGCACTACAGGTGTATGGGGCATCCCTGCTATAAGTCGCGCCGTTATACATCCGTTCCACATTAAGGTCGTTGACGCTTGTAGGGTGTGATGTGTCATAAGTCCTCCCATTCCCTGCTCTTAAGTCGCACAAAAAAAAAAAAAAAAAAACCACCTGGTTTGCGTAAATGGAAGTCAGCTGCAGTAAAAAAATTCCCCGCTTTAAGTTGCTTCGCTGTAAGTCCAAGTTTTTTGGACTTATAGCGTGCATGGCTTGTATAAAGATCCCGTGTGCTTCTTATAAGCATAACACAGGAAACAGTGAGTATTCAGTTCCCTGACGACATACTGTGCTAACAATTACTGACCTGTCCTAATAGGGCTGGGCTCATTGCTGCTTTCCCTGTTCTGGGGCTGAGGGTGTTGGTCTGTGCAGCCTTCTAGATCCTTGGGACAGGAGACCCAAGTTAAAAAGGAGGAAATTCAGGGGTGAATCTAGCCCTTATCCAAACTGACAAGCTCCTCATGATCCCTCAGTTTCAGCTTCTGAGGGGATGGTGGAACATTCTTTGGTTACTATTTGGGGAGGATTCACCCCTCCGTTTTCCCTTGCACCCTCTTCCACGTCTTGCTGTGCATTTTGTGTTAGGCAAGTGGCAGTAGGGGAGGGGCCTTTCACCTCTGAGGTATCTGGTTGGAACCCAGCTCAGGTCAGCTGCATCTGAATAGCGCTGCCACTTGTGGGCTGTCCTGGGGCTACACGGAACGTGTTCCCAGCTGCCAACCCGGTTCCTGTTTGGTGGGCCCTGCTGTTGCTGGTGGCGTCGACAGAGAGACCGAGGCCTGACGTCCTGCACATGTGACTTTCCCCGCTAGGTAGAGAGACTGGAAATGAAGGTGGTGGAGCCACTGAAACGCTACGGAGTCCAACTCAAGCAGATGCGGGTAAGCACCCTATGGCTTTAACCTTGCTGTGCCAGCCGATGGCGCAAGCCTACCAAAAACGCATTCTTCTCCTCTCCCAGACAGAGATCAAGAGGTTCAACAGTGTCCGAAACAATGAGATAAAGCAACTAGAGAAACTGGAGCGACTGCGGCAGAAGTCACCGTCAGACCGACACACCCTCGTATCCTTTATGCCGTCCTACAAAGCCAGGGAGGTGCAGCATTAGCTCTTCCTTAGGTAGCCCGGGAGTAGGAATGTTAGAGACCGTGTAGTTTAGTAATTGCAGAACCACAACAATTTTTAGTGGTTACACTATTACCAAAATACTCCTCAGGGGAGGGGCCGGCAGTCAGGGCACTCCTGGCCCCACTTTGGGGGAGCCCCCGTCACCCCCCCACTGCTGAGCTCCCCATGGACAGAGGATGCACCTGCATCCCGCCTGCCCCCTCCCCCATGCTGCTGCCTCTGATACAGAGGCAGCAACGCAGGATTGGGGGGGCTCTCTCCTTCCCCCTGCAATGCTCCCTCTTAAATGCCAGCTCCCCATGGGCACTGGCTCCTGCCTCCTCCCTCCCCCCTTTGCTGCCTCTGATACAGAGGCAGCAAGGGGGGAGAGGCTGCATGTAGTCATTTGGATTAACCTAGAAGCCTAGGCTTATCAGTTAATCATTTAAACAGCTATACACTAACATCCCTACCTGGGAGCTGTCTGATTAGTAACACAGAGGTGGGAAGCCAGAGCTCGGCTTACATTTCATCGTAGTTTCTTCCAAAACATTCCACAGAGCCCTGGAGTCCAACAGAATCTGCGGGAAACAGACCAGCATCAGGAAACCACCCACCCTAGTAAGGGAAAACCCAGATTGTTGTAAGCTCACCATAGGCACCCATGGGAACCCATCAGAGCTCACATAAACGAGACACACGTAATGGGATTGAGGGTTAGGTAATGAACCACCAACTTTCCCCTCCCCTGTCCCCCTGCCCAAAACCACTTCCTTATAAGTCTGCAAGGAGAGATTTGACACCAATTTGGTCACAAGCATCTCAGATGCATTCCCAAAGCCACATTTTTCACATAAATCTTGGCAGGCTCCTCTGCTAACTTTCCTAAGTGTTTCCCGACATCAGCACTCACTGAATGATGTGTGAATGGAAAACGGGGTAATGCTCCGTACTGAAATACCCCTCCTCTGCCCTTCGCCAAGGGACATGCACTTTCTCAGACTGTTTGCAGTGTTCGTTGTACCGGTGGTAGTCCCAGGATAGGAGAAAGACAAGGTGGGAGAGACAATACGTGCACCAACTTCTGTCTGCGGAGGAACAAGATTTCGAGCCACACAGAGCTCAGCTGTGGAGAAGATAACCAGAACGCCTTACAAGCCGGCTCTGAAGAGCGGCTCTGTGTAAGCTGGAAGACTTGTCCTTGCCAAAGACAGAAGTTGGTGGAATAAAAGACACTGCCTCGCCCGCCTCGTGTTACTTCAGACTTTCTGGGTGGGACAGCTTTTCAAAGAGACTCTTGAAAGATTTCCCTAGGTCTGGCAAGAATATTTCAAACAAGCAACCCCTTTCCGCAGCTTTTCCAAAGACGGCAATTCTCAGCTGAAAGTCCCAAAGATCCTCAAGGGGGAAAGAAGTAATTGGCCGTCTTTACGTAGGCTCGGCTGCTTAGCAAGGGGACTCAGTTTCTCTGGAAACAAAGCCTGGTGTCAGGTGACTAGCATGGGCTCTCGTCAGAAAGGCTGTCTCGGTCTCATGTGGAGTCACCACAGTACCATGTGACTGGGGACCACAGCCTCCCAGCTCAGTTTGCTAACTGGGCAGCCCAAAGCCTCATACATCCCTACAGTTCTGCTTCCAACAGCTCAGGTGCAAAAACCACTCAGGTTTGGGAGCATCATTTGCATGCGCCCAGAGATGCCTGATACGATTTGCATTTCAATGGCATTTTTCATGGGATTGGGGGGGCGGGAGGAATCAAATTTCTGTGCCAAACCTGGCAAATTTTCAGCTGTTTTCCATGAATCTTTGTGGGTTTTCCACCTGCTACAGAGGTAGAACCATAGAATCCTAGGACTGGAAGGGACATCGAGAGGTCATCGAGTACAGCCCCCTGCCCTCATGGCAGGACCAAATACTGTCTAGACCATCCCTGATAGACATTTATCTAACCTACTCTTAAATATCTCCACAGATGGAGATTCCACAACCTCCCTGGGCAATTTATTCCAGTGTTTAACCACCCTGACAGTTAGGAACTTTTTCCTAATGTCCAACCTAAACCTCCCTTGCTGCAGTTTAAGCCCATTGCTTCTTGTTCTGTCCTCAGAGGCCAAGATGAACAAGTTCTCACTCTTCCTTATGACACCCTTTTAGATACCTGAAAACTGCTATCATGTCCCCCCCTCAATCTTCTCTTTTCTAAACCCAATTTTTTCAGCCTTCCTTCATAGGTCATGTTCTCTAGACCTTTAATCATTCTTGTTGCTCTTCTCTGGACCCTCTCCAATTTCTCCACATCCTTCTTGAAATGGAGGTTTGTGAGTTTCCCAAAAAGCTCATTGAAATTTTGAAAAAAATAAAAACAAAAAACCCCATGATTTTTACTGGCTTTTCCACCAGCTCTGTAACTGGATTAAGTGCAAGAGCGGACAGGTAACCTCTCTCCGTGGACACCAATCCCTATCTGGTAATGTGATGTGTTCCGTCTGGGCTCATATGCTGGCTGGCACAATTTAAAAGGCATTCCAACAAAGTCACAGGCAAAGCTGGGCTTATGTTTCATAAGGGTGGATTGTTGTCATGTTCGCCCCAGGGTGAAAATCCTCCTTCAGAAATGCAATCAGGGCAGTGAGTCCGTGTAATACCACAAGATTCCTTCCTGCCCACAAGAATCTTGAGAGTCACTGCTCGGTTCTGGACTCCGCTGGTCACACAGGCATCTGGCACAAGGATTGGTGTCTAGAAACTCTCCCTTTCTATCAGATTGTTCCTTGATTATTGCCTTCAGTCCCAGGTAAGCACCAATCCTCCCAGGTATATTTATCCTTTGCCCAAGGTACAATTTCGAGCAGTGGACAGTGAAAGATCATCAGGATAAAGCACAGGTAAGTGCTCAAGAAGCAAACTCAGCCCAGGACAGGACTTCAGGGAATGTTCTAAAACCTCTCCTGGCGGTATTTATAATGCAGTGGGGCACTGGTGAAGACACAATTCTTTCCAAGAGCTCCCGGCACTGGAATCAGGTTTCTCTCCCCCTTCCTGGGCTGTACTATTGCATACTGGAGCAAGGACTCTCTTTTACTGTTCAAAAGTTCTCTATGAAAACTGGGTTTTTGGATGGAAAATTGGGTTTTCACTTACACCACATGTTTGGGGAAAGCGTCTGCTTTCTGCAGAAAACGTAGACTTTTTGTCAAAACGATCAAAAACGTGTTGGCTGGAATTTTTCCGTTTTTTTTTCTTTTTAATGAAATGTTGAAACTTTTCATGGAAAAAAAAACCCTATCGGTATTCTAACCACTTCTCTTCCCGTGCACGTGCAGCACCTAGCACAACGGCACCTGATCTCAGCTGAAGCTTCTAAGTAAGGATTCATTTGTCACGGACGCTGTTTAGACCAGTGCCAGTGTCACTCCCGACTGACCCCAGTGGGAGATAAGAACCGGAGCCCATTGGGAATGCATAGCCCACACTCTAACTGTGAGCGTCTCCTGTGTTTACTCTGTACTGTGCGCAGCATGAGCGTTTGGTATTCAAGGGAGAAAAAAGAATGACTGAGCATCTACTCAGTCTGGAAGTAATTAGCTCACAAAGCAAAGCAACGAAATACACCCACCCATGGAGGAAAGGGAGGGCCCCCGGTCCCTGCCTGCCAGCTTCCCTTCTGCTTTTTCCCCACCTACAATACCCCGGCCAAGGCAGGCTTTATTTCACCTCCCAGCTGCTTTTCTGATCAACACGCTGATGTTCTATGCTCCGCTGGTCCAGATCCTACACCACATGTTTAGTACCTGAAATAGCCCTGGCATAAGTCTCATCCATTTTCCTGTAATGGCATTCAGTGCTGATGGATTTTTGCCTTTCCTCCTCTCTCTCTCTAGCAGCAGGAGAGCTATTGAACCTTTTGTACTGGAAGGGAAAATAGTGTTAGGGCTCCTGAGGGCGCCTGCTATCATGGGGATGCAACTGACCCCCCCTAAAAATACTCGCAAGAATCATCCTTCTGATTGAATATTCTCTACTCTCCAGCCATATTAATTCCTCGCCTGGAGCAGTGGTTCTTTGTTTGTTTCTTTACCGGCCCCTCACGCCATGAAGGCGCCGTGGCTGCGGAGCTGGTAAATAAACCGGAGCGGCCCATCGGCAGCTTTCTCCGAGCGGGTCCATGGCCCACTTTGAGAAACACTGGCCTAGAGGAAGCAACACTGGGAAGCTTATAACAACACTTACTTCTCACTTAAGGCTTTCCCACTGGAGAGCAAGGCACTTCAGCACGGAAAGTCAGTCTCATTATGCCTGTTTTACAGACACTAGGGAAACTGAGGCACAAAGACGGAGGGGTGTGGCAAGTGACTTGACCATGATCACATAGTAAGTCAGTGATGGAGCCAGGAAGAGAACCCAGGATTCCTGACTCTCACTTTCTAGCTTTAGCAACTAGCTCAGCATTCAGAAGATGTAACCTTTCCTATAAACAGAAAACGAGAGACCTGATTCCCGATGCCCTGCCCCCGCCACAGAACGGTCAGTTCAGGACCCAGTGGCATCTCATAAGCAGCTTTAAGAAACACTCTAGCTACAGGCACCCTACTGCTGTAATAGTCAGTATGCTCGACATTGGACTTCTGTCACTTAATTCACTGTGACTGAGGATACATGCGTGAAGCCAAGCTCCTTACAAACCGAATTCAGGGCTTACTCGGCAGGTGGTGCAAGAACAATCTGGACTCCACATAAGCCCATGGCACCTCTCTAGCCATGTGCATGTGCAAATGGGTCCCCTCGGGGGCCAGGGTGTGGTCCGTGCACACACAGAACAGGTCCCTGCTTGTTAAAATGCAAGGCCCTACGACTATCTGACTGCACCTTCTGTTTGCTCTCCTCTGGAAAATGGGAATGATTGCAATGTCACATACAGAGGATTAGGGGGAAAAAATCATAGGTAGATGGGGAACTAGGAGGAGCAGATGAACTCTTAGAAAATGAAGATCCTCTGGTCATACTAAAGCCCTGGCTGATAAAAATTGCAGGAAGGGGGCACATACCGAGCATATATGCCATCTAGCGGAACTGTTTCTCAAGGGAAAAGGCTAGGAACATCCCTGTTGTCACGCTGCCAATTTTAGTGGAGTTCCTTAGGGATGAAGTTAGCCTCTCTTGTGAAACTTACAGTCCTCATAAGGCACCATGCGCCATGGGTCTGTTCCACCATGAAGCATGCACGCCCCATTGCACTCTGCTGGGTACGGTCGGGCCATCCCAGCCTGCACAGAAAACACTGTCAAGTGGTGTGTGTGTCAAAATAGAGAGATCATGTCACCCCCAGAGTGGCTGTGGCCCCAGGAGATAGACTCTGGGGACATGTCTACACTGGGGAGTTATTTCCAAATACTAACGCCTGCTTGCGAAGAGGAATAAGCTTATTTCGAACTAGTTATTTCGGGGGTTATATTTTGAAATAACCTGGCAGTGTAGACATAGCCTGGGTGAGTGTCAAAAGAAACCACTTACTCGATCATGGCATTGGCTTTGCGAGGGGAACCAAAACAGCTTCCTGGTCTGCACCCCGTGATCAACCAAACCAGGCCAATGTGAGACCAGGAGTTTGGATTCGGTGGTGAATGCAGGACCAGGCCTTTGAGCACACTATTGGACCGAGGCAGCAAGGCCAACGCTTCCTTTTGCACGTGGTAAGCCCTAGCGTTGCTCCACAAGCATCATTAATCCCCAGGCTGCTTTATAACGAGGGTTGACCAGGGCACGGCCATTCCTCCAGCCACCTCCGCACTGAGACAGGCAGGCTGATGGACTGGACTGGTGGGGGGTGCTTGCATGGTCTGGATCTCATTGCTGGTTCCAGTGCTGCAGTGCCTCTGGCCTGTCTACCCACCTTAGGGCTCTATTTATCCTCACCGCCTCCTGGGAGGCAGGGCAGAGCCGTTATCCCCACTGTGCAGATGGGGAAGTGAGACAGAGAGAAGAGAGGTGACATGCCCAAGGTCTCAGGCAGTTAGTGGCAGGACAGGGTAGTGCACCCTGGTTTCCAGGATCTAGGTGAGTACCCTAACCGTGGACCATCCTTCCTCTCTGAAGGCCGTGTCTTGTAATTCAATACTTTGCTTCCACTGAGCTGCCTTTGCTCCCCGATGCCCAGGCTGGTATCCCCTCCTGCAGCTGAAGGGCCAGTGTAGACACCACATGATGCTGTCTTGGTATTTTTCTCAGGCTGAGTCAAACGTGCACAAAGCCTCAGTTGATGCCAGCCGCACCACTCAGCAGCTGGAGGAAACCATCGATGAGTTCCAGAAACAGAAGCTGACAGACATCCAGGTAAAGTGCCCTGTGAAGGGTTCAGAATGTAGCTACGAGAATGATTCAAGAGCTGGGAGACCTACCCTTCAGAGATAGGGTTAATCTACGTAACTTAACGAAGAGAAGGGAAAAAGCACACTTAGGCTATGTCTACACTTGCGGCTTCTTGCGCAAGTACGGCCATTCTTGCACAAGGATCTGCAGAGCGTCCACATTGCCCGCCTGCTCTTGCGCAAGTAAATTTACAGCACAGCGTGGTAAGAGGGGGCTCCTTGTGCAAGAGCGACGTTCTTTTTTGACAGGTGTAAGCCCTCTTGCGCAGGAGCTCTTGTGCAAGAGGGCAGTGTAGACGCTCAGCAGGGATTTCTTGCGCAAGAAAGCATCCTCACTGCCATGGGTGCGCTTGTGCAAAAGCACAGCTTGCACATGGCAGTGTGGACGTTTTCTTGAGCAAGAGAAGCATCCTCACTGCCATGGGCACGCTTGTGCAAAAGCACAGCTTGCACATGGCAGTGTGGACGTTTTCTTGAGCAAGAGTTCTTGCACAAGAACCCTTGCGCAAGATGTTCTTGCACAAGAAGCTGCGAGTGTAGACATAGCTTTAGGGTATGTCTACACTGCACGCTGATTTCGGAATAAGCTATTCTGGAAGAAACACTCCAAAATAGCTTATTTCGAAATAGCGCGTCTATACTATAGGGAAGCCTGAAAATTAGTCCAAGGCAGGCGCACGATGATTTCGGAATAAGCTATTCTGGAAGAAACACTCCAAAATAGCTTATTTCGAAATAGCGCGTCTATACTATAGGGAAGCCTGAAAATTAGTCCAAGGCAGGCTCCCCTAATGTGGACACACTCCCTCGATTTAGAGCCCCAGGAAGCACTAGGAGTAATTACTCTGAATGGCCCTGGGGAGGAGCGATTTTGAAATAGCAGCCATGGAACGTCCACACTGCAGGTATTTCGAAACAGCTGTTTTGGAAGAGGCGTTATGCCTCGTGGAATGAGGTGTACACAGAGGTCGGAACAAGCCATCCGTTATTTCGAAGTAATGGAATTGCTCGCAGGGTTATTTCTAAATAGCGTCAGCTATTCCAAAATAACGGTGCTGTGGAGACGCACCCGTAGAGCAAAGAGCCTCTTCTATCACTCAGATGAAGGCACAGCAAGATTTCATGACCAGGGAAGCTGACGAGCCCCTGGGCAAAGTGACAGGAGCTGGCTCTGTGCTCCCAGAAGGGGCGGGTCCTCAGGCAGAAGGGGTGGAGCCTGGGGCAGCCCTCCACACCACCCAGAGCACAGTGCCCCCAGGAGCCCTCAGAGCCACATAGCACGCTCCAGAGCCCCACATCACCGCTCTATGTAGCACTCTACCAGCTATTTAAAGGGCCCAGGGTCCCTTAGAATTGCTGGGCCCCCAGGCAGCTGCTCCCTTTGCTCCCCCTCCCGCCCCCATCAGCAGGCCTCCTCATGACTATAAGTTGAAGTTAGGCAAAATCAGCCTAGAAAGAAATTGCACCTTAAAAGAAACCTCTCGGAGGTTCATTTTGACCACTGGAGCACATTACCTAGGGATGTGGTAAATTCTCCCTCCCTGGAAGCCTTTAAATCAAGGCCAGACTTTTCTTTCCGAAAGATCTGCTCTAGCTCAGACAAAAGTGCTGGCTTTGGTGCAGGGATCTCGGGGGGAAAGTTCCCTGCCAGACAAGAAAATCATCACAATGGCCCCTTGTCTTAAACACCCCCTGGTCGCCGCTGGCTTAGGGCTCCATCTGATCTGGGGAATGAGGCTTTTCGGAGCAGGGGTCCCTGTGCAGCAAGCATACTTTGGAGCTGGCTGCCTGCTCCTTTCCCCACCCGTTTCCTATAGTCTCTCACTACTACAATACCGTCAAGGCAGAGCGAATGGAACAGCCTCCAAAGCCCCGGGATGTCACTTCTTAACCGGCCCGCAGTGCCGAGGAAGAGGGCAGGCGACTGGGTGCTTTCACTACAGGACTGGTTGCTCAAGGAAAGGGCTGGCCCATGTTACACCCCAACCCCTCTCCCCGCCTTCTTTTCTTGCAGAAGATTTTCTTGGACTTCGTCACCGTCGAGATGGTTTTCCATGCTAAGGCTCTCGAGGTCTATTCCAGCGCCTTCCAGATCCTGACCGATTATGACTTGGAAAGAGATATGGAGGTACGCAGGTTTGAAGTGCACGGTTCTACTCAAACACGCCTCCTGCAATTCCAGCAGCACAGCCTAAAACCTGCTGTCAACGGGGATTAATCCCCGACACCTCTTAGAAGTGGGTATCAACATCCCCGTGGTGCAGAGAGGGCAATGGAAGCACACGGCGGCCACATGCCTCGTGACCTTGAACGATAAGGCAACAGAAGGGAAGCAGCTTTGGCCCCGCATCACCCCTCCCTGGATCAGTCTCAGTACGGCACGTCACTCACGTGGGTGCGTTAGTCACACTGCAAAGGAGATTAGATTTTAATGAGCAATTTGTATTCCTAAAGAGGTGCCTGCAGGTTTCCATTTCCCTGGCACAGGAATGGGAAATAGGTTTTTTTTTTTTTACTGGGGACCACTTCAGAAACTTTTGAAGTGGCCCTAGGCCACACCAGAAGGGGTGGGACCTCAAGTGGAAGTGGCAGGGCCAGGATACTTCTCTTTTTTCCCACCCACTGACCATGATTGGTCTGGGCGTAGGGGAGCGCCCCCTAGGCGCCCATGCCCTGGGCGGTGGGAGAAGATTTCACACGCTCCCCCTTGTGCCCTCAGGACAATCAGGGCTTGGGGCAGAGGAGCACATGAAGTCTCCTTCTGCCCTGCCAGGAGCACGTGGTGCTTCTAAGCGCCGCATGCTCCTTGCAGGGCAGGGGCAGGGCGGAGGAAACTTCCTACACTTCCTCCTGCCCCTAGGCCCTGATTGGTCTGGGGGCAGGGGAGCACGCAAAGTCTCCTCTCCCCCTGCAAAGAGCATGCAGCTCTGTGTGCATATCGTTCAAGCACAGTCCTAGCTTAACCCAGGGATGCTCAGTGACAGACTGTGACCAGCCCCTAAGCAGGTGTGCAGGGCAGGTGCCAAGCACAGATGCAGCTATGGTGCATCCCCAGGCTCAAGGACTGCTACTGGCTAGCAAATCCCGGGCACAAAGAATGAACCAACCAGGATCATGGTCCAAGTCCAGCCAGCAAGAGAGGGTAGAGAACACAACTTCTCCAGAGCTAGCAGCAAAACCCCTCCCCCAGGCAAGCCAGTGCCTTTGGTTTGATTAAATTAAGCTGAGTTCTCCAACCCATTTGCTCCCAGTTGGACCCCGTGGGCTCTTTATGCCTACAGTCGCTAGGGCAGTCACAGAAAACAAGCTTGCACAGCCTCCTTGGCTTGCTGCTTTCGGTGGCTTGCACACTGCAAAGCTGCGTTTGCTCACTGCACGGTATACTCAGAAGGCATCGGCCCGCGCGCCAGGCCTTTGGCTCCGGCTGGCGTTGACCCTAACCATCAGTGTGTTGCCTTGCTAGGATTTCAGAGCAAAACTCCACAGTGCTTCTGGAAATTATGATGCCAGGCCAGTGAGCTCCACAAACCCTTCCTCCAGCCTGCCTTGGTCCAGCAGCAGCCAGGTGAGAGAGACCCAGCCCCATGTTGGGAGTCATTGCGGATTGGTTCTTTTCTCTGGCTGTCTCCTTCCCTCCCCTCCAGTCTTTCCCCATCCTTCCCTCTTTCCCCCTACTCCTTCCCTTCCCGTTTAGCTGAGCCCCTCCTAGGTCAGAGTGTCTAGCACCAGAAGGAACCTTCACAAGCCCATCATCAGAGAGGGAAAAGGGGGCAGTTGCCCTAGGGCCAGGAGTCCTGGGCCCCTTTGAATTGCTGCTGGAGCGCCGGAGCGGAGGGCTAGGTGGAGCACCCTGGTCTGGGTGGTGCTACCGGCTGATTGCCCTCGACCTTACCCCTTCAGGCAGAGGCTCCGCCCCTTCTAGGGGTGCAGAGCCCCAGAAGGTCCCCCATCCTGATCATCTAGTCTGACTTCCTGCACCTCGCAGGCCACAGAACCTCACCCCCCCCCACACACACACTATTGAGGTAGGCCCCTAACCTCTGGCTGAGTTACTGAAGTCTTCAAACCTTGGCTTAAAGACTTCCAGCTACAGAGAATTCACCATTCTTTAGTTCCAACCTGCAAGCAACCCCGGCCTCATGCTGCAGAGGAAGACATAAGACCCAGGATGTCTGCCAATCTGAACTAGAGGGAAATTCCTTCCCCGTTATGGCAATCTGTTAGACCCATACATCCACCAGCCCCAATGCTCTGTAGTAACTCAGAGCCCTCCCCCATCTCATGTCTCATCCCCAGCTGTTTGAGATATTTGATAATAGCAGTCACAGAAGGGCCATATGCCCTTGTAGGCAATTGCATCATACACTTATCAAGCTCAGGCTTGTTTTTTGGCCCCGCCACCTCTTTGGAAGGTTGTTCCAGGACCTCACTCCTCTGATGCTTAGAAACCTTTGTCTGATTTCAAGCCTAAATTTATTAATGGCTATGTCCATTTGCTTGTGCCAACACTGGCCCTTCATATATACAACTTCTTTCCTGCCCTGGTGTTTATCCCTCTGGTGTAGTTGTAGACAGCAATCGGATCTCCCCTCGGCTTCTCTTTTATTTGGCTAAACAAGACCAGGTCTACACTAAAAAGGAAGGTTGAATCAAGATATGCAACTCCAGTTATGTTAATTACGTAGCTGGAGCCAACTTTCCTTGTTTCGCATTTCCCCGCTGTCCCCACAGCAGGAGGCCTATGGGAGCGAATGCTCCCATCGGCTTCCCTTACTCCTCACAGAAGCAGGAGTACCTGCCTCCAATGGGGGTGCCCTCTGAGTTTGATTTAGCAAGTCTTAACTAGGCCCGCTAAATCGAACTCTGGAAGATTGATTGTGGCAGCATCGATCTTCCGTTTAGTGAAGACATGGCCTTAGTCTCCTCTGGTAAAGCATATTTTCCATTCATCTGATCATCCTAGTAGCCCTTCTCTGATACGCCTTCCCTTCCTCCCACCAAAAATGTTTGTAGTGTGAACATGACTTTTGTCATCCCATTGCTCACTGTACTTGGGAGTTCTACCTCTTCCCCCAGCCTGCATCTATCTCATCTCTCAAGATCGTCAGCTGTTCTGGCAGGGAACTTCTGTGTTTAACATTTAGCACACCAGGGGCCCATTCTTGGTTGGTCCTTCAGTACTTCTCCAGTAAACATGGTTAATAATAGCCATGTGCCCGGTTATGTAGTATTTGGCTCACGGAGCCCAGCCTAACAGTATTTGGGGAATGGCATAAATTAGGCTCCTTTAGGAACAGATTTTGAAAGTTACAAATAAGGAGGAAGGCATTAAATAGCTCTTCCCCTGTTACGAAAATATAAAACATCTGCTATTAAAAAGCACCAAGACAAGCATCTTCGCATATGACAGTCAAAGAAGTTTCTCTCAGTGAAAAAGGGACAGGAAATTTAAAACATGTACATGAGGGATGTAAAATCCGGTTTAATTGGTTATTATGTTTAACTGGTTAACCGATTAAAAGGGAGGGGCAGAGTGGAGCAACCCCCCTGCTGTAGGCAAGAGCTGCTACAGCCAGCCGGAGCCATCCCTGCCTACGGAGCACTCGGGCTCTGGACACTGGAGCAATCCCTATCTATGGGGCTCCTGGGCCAGCCACAGAGAGAGGCCGCTACCTGTCGTAGCGGGCTCCTTGTGGGGCTGGAAAAGTCTCCTGAGTGTGGCAGGCAGGCCCTAGCCCCCACCGATTAACGTTAATCAGAACTGGTAAACGTCACCCACCAATGGTGAGGTTTACCAATTAACCTTTCACCTCCTTAATATACATCCCGAGAAAATGCTATTTTGTAACAAATCCATGAACACGAAGAACTTCACAGAGATCACTAAGCTCTAGAGAAATGTGGGACTTCTATGGGCCAATACATGGAATCACAGTATCTCTCAAATGGAAGACATTTATTAAGACACCAACAGGCTGCTACACAGCTCAAGTTCCAGCCTCAGTTTCTTTTGTTTACCAGGTACTTCGTGCTGGCCAGAAATCGGTACAGCACCATCTTAAGATAGAGGCTGGATTATCTGAGTAACTGTAGCACTGAAGGCCCAGCCATCAAAGTTCAGATTCAGATCTAAGTTTCCTCAGAATCTGAAGGGTGTTTTAGACCTGGGGTTTTGGTTGGGGTCTCCTCTGATCAGTAGCTGGAAAGCCAGATTTCAGGTTCCCTGGTGCAATTCTGGAGTAATCTCACTAAAGGAAACCTATAGCACAGGGGTCTCAAGCTCATGGGCCACCCACAGCCCAAGCAGTTCCACAATCTGGCCCACATGAAGCTGCCGGCACATGAGTCCCTGTGGACTGGAGGGGGGGGGGTGTCCGTACCCTTCCCCCAAGCCCAGCCCCTGCTCTGCCTCTCCTTGCCCCCATCCCCTGCACTCCTTCCCTCAAGTCCCCTCCCTTGAGGGACACCACCCGGGAGATGGCACCAGAGCAGGCTACTGACTTGCTTTGCTTCTCCAGCCGTAGTGAGTGCGGAGGGGTCTTGACCCTTGCTGCTGGCCCCAGCCCCCAGGGCCCTGTAGGCTAACCTGAGTATGGGGGGGGGGGGGGAGCGGCCCATCCATAGGACATTTGGGATGGCCACCACAGGGGCCCCCAAAATGCAGGGCCTAGGGCAGCCACCCCAAACTGTCCTTTAGATGGGATGACTCTGCGCCCACATCCTCTGGGCCACAGCTATGCTGGCAGCAGCATGGAGCTAGCTGCTGGAAGTCGCCCCAGGCCTGCTGGCAGTGGAGACCCTGGAAGGAAAGTTCAATTGCCTGGGGCATCAGGCAGGGCCAGGAAACGCATGAGGGTTGTGGGGAGAAATGTGGATAAAGTGCGCCACTCCTCCCCCACGGGCCTGCTGGAAGGAGGTGGTTGCTGGCCCACTAGGTGAGGACTGGCACTAGGCCCTAAAGTAAATTGAATTTGAGACCCCTGCTGTAGGCTAGCAGCACAAAGAAGATCTATTATACCTATTTCATAGAACAGGGAGGGACCACGAGAGGTCAGAGTCCAGTCCCCTAGCTCATGGCAGGACCAAGTACCATCCCTGACAGATTTGCTCCAGACCCCTAAATGGTCCCCTGAAGGATTGAACTCACACTCCTGGGTTTAGCAGGCCCATGCTCAAGCCACAGAGCTATCCCTCCCCCGGTAGGCTCCAAAATGGCTTTCTGTGCCTTCGTTTCTAGAGCATTCACAGCACTCCGCAGAGGCAGGAAGAGAGTGAATACGACGCCGAAGAGCACAGGCTGCAGGATTTCAGTGATCCCGAAGAGGCACCGACTCGACGGCCACGGCACAGCAGGACTAACCAACCACGTTCATAAGAACTGGGCGTATTTATTCTTACCTCCACTCTGGCTTCCCTTACTGAACCTTAGATTTCCCAGGAAGGCAAGGAGCTCGCAAGGAGGTTTTTAAGTAATTTAGAGCCTACCTAAATGCATTGTCCCCAAGCCCAGAGGTGGCTCTAGCTCGGAGACTGATTCTTAGTACTAGAGGGGAACCAAAAGGTTTATTTGCAAGTTGAACACCCTCTGGGACAGCAAGAGGGGTGGGATGTCAGATCTCATGACTCTGTTATTTCTGACAAGTGACAGGCCCCACGTTACATGTCACTGGGCATCTACACCATGCCCTGAGTAAGTGACCTGGTGGCTGAAGTCTGAGAAAGCAAACTAGAACCCAACTTCCAGTTTGGGAGGGTGCATCTCCCCTGATTGGGGGGGAAGGGAATCTCCAAAGAAACAAATCTCTCGTTTGTCTACTCAAACTAACCCCTGTAAGGCAGGGATGGATCTCTTCCCCAACGAGATGCGTAAGGATCATAGCCTACTTCCAACGACGTATTCTTTAGAGAGGCCTGTCTATAGGTCTCTCCAGGAGCATGCTGGACACCAACGTTACATTGTAGGAGACTGACTAGGTCAGAAGTGTAATTACATTTCCCCACTTTTAATTTTATCTAGTGATTGATTAACAGTGTAAATATGTTTAGTTCAGTGGCTGTTACCCAGGGGTGAAAGGAAGCGGGGGTGCCGTGGTGCACAGCTTCGGCAAGAGCTGAGCTGCGGCAAAAGCCAGCAGGGAGCTATTTAAAGAGCCGGCAGGGATGCTGGTTGCAATAGGACAGTACCTGTAAGGAATTTGAAGTTATTTTCACTAGGGATGTTACCATGCAGTTGTCAGTCCTGTGCTCTTTGCTGCAACTGGCTATTTCCATGTAACATAATAAACAGTAGGTTTTTTTTGTGCCCTCATTTATTTTACTATGGGTGAAAGATACCCAACTGCTGGCCCTGTAGAACGAAGGCCTCTGGGTAGCTCCAAAGCAGGGAGAGCCTGGGCACCATCGATACAAGTATCTCTTCATGTGAATACCTGCCTTCTTCAACCCTTCTAGCCCTGGGTCCTCTCAATGGCCTAGTCAGTCCTTGGCATCTGCTGACCACTAGCCAGCAGGTTAATTTCTGCCAGTTGCTGGCATGTTTCTTCTGACTGGGACCTTTGTCCACTACGAACTGGACTAAGACCATCCCCACCATGACCACAAGTGCTGAACTTAACATTTCATTAAATGCTTCTTCTTTGCTGTTTGCCTCAACCAAACTTAGGGGCTGTGTCTACACGGGGCCACTTATTCCGGAAAATCAGCCGCTTTTCCGGAATAAGCTGCGAGCTGTCTACACTGGCCCTTGAATTTCTGGAAAAGCAACAATGCTCTACCGTACAAAATCAGCCGCTATTCCAGAAAAACTATTCTGCTCCCGCTCGGGCATAAGTCCTTATTCTGGAACACTGTTCCGGAAAAGGGCCAGTGTAAACAGCCCAGTAGTCTTTTCTGGAAAAGCGCGTCTACATTGGCCACAGACGCTTTTCCGGGAAAAGGGCTTTTCCGGAAAAGCAGCCTGCCAATGTAGACGCTCCTTTTCCGGAAAAAATGAAATGGAATAGTATTCCGTTTTAAGCATTTCCGGAAATTCATGCCAGTGTAGACACAGCCAGGTTGTTCCCACTATTCAGGTGCTGTCCAGCTGCTAGCCTGGGTTTCTACTGGTGATGCACATCTGCACATGTAACAAAATTTACTCTGTACATGGATGGAAAAAAAATTAGAGGGCACATTAGTTGTATCCCTAACAAACACCACTTCTTAAGGAGGCTAGTAGTCGGCGCAGGAGAAAGCGGAGAAAGGCATGGCAAGGACCAACAGCTGGAAGCCAAATTAATTCTCAGTAGAAATAAGGCATCATATATATATAGTAGCCCAGTGTCAGTGCGTCTGTAAGGCTGATGCTCATGCGGACATACATGGCTACGCCTCCTGGCCCTGAATGTTAGCGCGTGGGGAGTGCAGACCCCAAAGGGCCGCTTGCTGCTGCTTCCTCCCCCGCCAGGGCCCGGGAGGGGAAGGGGCGTAGGGCGGTGACATGCAGCGTGACAACGGCTCCAGCAAACGGCCGTGAACGTCACCACCCCGCCCCCCCTTCGCCTCCCGCCATGGCTCTCGGCTGACTTCTGCGCTGCTCAGCCAGGCTGCCGCATGGGAGCTCGCTGCGCAAGCGACCGTTTGGGCTCCGCACCCCCCATGCAACACAGGGAATGCGGAGCCTAAACAGTCATTTGGGCTCCACAGTCGTCTGACTGAGTGGCAGGAGGAGGAGGAGGAGGAGAAGTGAAAGAGAGATACAGAGAGAGAGGCAGGAGGCAGAGGAGAGCTGGGGGGGGGGGGGGGGGGGGGGGGGGGGGGGGGGGAACATGGAGGAGACCTGAAAATCCCGTCTTATGAATGGCTAATTGGCTAATGTTTTTAATAATGAGGCTGATTAGCCAACGGGACCAACTCTGAAAGGAAAGGATGCTTTTGGGGGCCCTGCACTGACTGCCCCAACCATCCTATGGCCGGAAGAATTGGAGGACCTGATGTGGGGCGACAGCATGGGTTGCCCCCACCGTACTCAGAACCGGAGCGACCCGGCAGGCTGTGCTGCCCTCCTGGCCCTCGGCTTCTCCGCAGCAGCAGGAAGCAGTGTGCCCTAGCCCCACGATGCTCCACTTTCTGCAGCCGTGGGGAAGCAGAGAACAGTGAGCAAGGAGAGGGTGGTGCTGCTGGGCCACTCCACCTCCCACCGCCTGTGTGTGTATGGGGGGGGGGGCAACCCCTGATGTTGCTGCGCCAGGCCTCCTTAATCCTCCAGGCCGTGGTGCTCACAGGAGGGGGCAAGGAGCAGGGAGGGGGCTTGGGGAGCAGTAGGGTAGGGCCTATGGTGGTGAAGGTTTGCCCTGGGCCCCACACCTGGGGGGGGTTGATCCAAGCTTCTCTGAGTGCCCCAAGCTCCTTGCCCCCCCTCAGGACAGCAGATATTCACCTATATTCACACTGGCTGTAGCAGCCTCTCTCACAATCCCTCCCAGAACCCTCCTTTTCTCACATCCCCTCCTCACTGTGACTAGCCTGGGTAACACAACGAGCCCAACACCCACTCGGTTTACTGCAGAGCAGCTGAAGCTGTCCCCGCTGCTAGGACTAAGGCCTCCCATTAAAATTCACCACAGTGTCTACCTAAGATACCTGGCTCCCATTCGTGAGCACCCAGCCATCTTCAGTGTATTTCTCCCCACCTCACCCTTCCAAGGTAGAGCGGTGTTATTGGCACATTGTAGAGATCAGGCACAGAAAGCCTAAGTAACCTGCCCAGGGTCATACAGGAAGTGTGTAGCAGAGAAAAGACTCACACCCAGGTTCTCCAAGTCCTAGGCTAGCACTCTAACTATTGGGCAGTTCTCTCTCTCAGCAGCCCTTTCATCTGTGACTCATGGGGGTTTCCACCAGGACAGTGCCGTTCTGCATTGGGGGCTCTCAGGGGTATGTTTACACTGCTTTATAAGCCAGGATCTATGGGATCTGGGCTCAGTGTTCCCAAGCCCAAGTTTGAGTGACCACGCTGTGTTCTAAATCTGGATCTTTCCACCATGCAAACCCATCCAGGCTGCCGTACCCAGACCTTCCGATGCAGCTCCAGCTGCAGCCACACTGCAAAGTGGGAGGGCTTGGATCCGAACCACAGCAGAATTCGGGCTCTGACCCATCCCCCGAGCAGGGACCTGTGTCCTGAGTACTTGTTGACCTTAGTCAGGGTGGTTTGTGTGTGGACCAAAGGGGGCTTGGGTTGAAACCTGAGCCAAAGCCCAGTCTTGGGCCATGTCTATAGTAAATGAAGGATCGACACCCCAGAGATCGATCTTTGGCATTTGATTTGGCGGGTCTAGTAAGGACCTGCTAAATTGAATGCTGAGGGTGCTCTCATCAACTCTGGAACTCCTCCCAGCTGGAGTAAGGGAAGTTAACGGGAGAGTTCTCCCCCATCAGCCTCCCACTATGGGGCCGCTCCAGAAAGTCAATGCAAGGTATGTCGACTCCAGCTACACAATTCACTTAGCTGGAGAAGTGTATTTTGCATTGATTTTCTCCGTGGTGCAGTCCTGGTGTTAGTGTGAACTGTAGACGTCCCTCCATTGCTTTCAACGAGCTTTTGATCAGACCTCAAGAACAGAACAGCTACTGCCAATGCAAATGTCTCTGGTCCCTACAGCGTAGTAACAGCTGGTGAGGGGAAGAGTATGCAGCCCCTGGCTTTCCCCACTGCGGCCGCATTTCCACACTGCCTGCAGGACTGAGCCAGAGATCCTTTTGAGATGTGGCCCCTGGCCTCCCGCAATGTCGGCCAGCTGAATGGCCCAGCACGATGCATCCAGGGAGAAATGAGCCCCATTGATTTTTCCCTTTCAGGCACACTTTTTTTCCCCCTGTCCTTCCATCAAGCAGCAAATATGCTTTCAGTGCAATAAAGACTGCTGCTCGGTCTATGGAACAAATGCTTAGCGCCAGCCATTGTCCACCGAGGTGGGAGGGGGCCCATACTGATTTAATGACGGTGATTTAAGCAATTTTGATCCATTTTACAGTTCATT